AAAAATTAAATGTCATCTACAAAACATGAAATAATAATTTATATTACTAACCTCAATAATCCAATTACTAACATTAGTATTTTTAAATTTAAAAACTTCTTTTAACTGTTTTTCAAGAAAACTAATATTTTCACAAGATGTAGATACCTGACGTAAATTTTGACTAAGAATGGAGTTTGAAATCTTTTGAGCTTTACTACACTTCAAAAGAAATTTTTCACTATAAATAACTAAAGGTGTCAATTGAATTGTTTTAAATATCATATTTAACATTGTTAAGTATCATAAACGTATTGAAAAATATCTTAAAATTACTTTACATTAGAAAAAATTTTAGAAGATAGCTGCCTTTTAGTTACTTAAATCTTTTGGTCTTCTTATCGAACAATACTGTATATCTTTGATAATAAAATGTAAATTAAGAGGCAACCTTTAAATAACAATTGAAGTCTCAAGTATTTTTTATATATCTATTAAGATATGTAATTAACCACAAAATTAAGTAACAATCAATGTTGACATACAAATTTATATGTCAGTGGTCAAATATTTGTTTTTTTTTTCCACTATTTTTTACATTCTATCTGACGAAGACGTGTTCTTCTAGCAACACAAGTTATTTAATCTAGAGAATTTATTTGACAGTTGGATGTTAAATTTGAATTATATTTACTGAATAGCAAGAGAAAGGAAACAGAATATGAAAAAGTTTCTTTAATAATTGTTTCTAATTTTTCTTGTATTTTTGTGATTGATATAACAAATTGATAAAAAATATTATGTGATACAGTTGGCAATCATTAGTACTAAAATGGTGTTATGGTCAGAGGCATTATAATACGTATTTAATTGCAAATCGATTAAAAATAAATTTACAGAGCGTAGATATTTTCTAAAATAAATGTAAGCTTTCATCAACATACAGAATGCAGTTAGTGCATTTTTCTTGGGGTCTCATTTGGTATACTTTATTGACTTGTCAAGGTATTTTGATGAAGTGTATTCTATTTCATATAACATTTTCAACTTTGTAATTATGTGTTCTATTGTTATTTTAATTTGTAATAAGTTTAAAATGTTTTATTCGTTTTTTGTGTTACAGTTAATGCTTTTGAGTATAATATTACATTGTCTCACAATGGTCCTGTAGTATTAGGTGGAACTATCTCATTTAAAGCTGATATCTTTTACAATGATGAAAGACCATCAGGAACATTTAAATATAAGTGGAGTGACAATGCGTTAATTCCTCATATATACGAGGTTAGCTTTTCATCTTGTGTTTTATTAAAAGGTTTTAATAGTTTAAAAGACTTTTATTGCAATTTTAATAACAAATAGTTATATTTGTCAATATGAGTAATTTTTAATGAAAAATAATATTTATTATATAGTACAATGTTTTTTACATTCATGCATTGATGTATTTTACTATATGATTTATAAAGGAATGTTAAAATTTGTTATATTTTAAATATTAACTGTTACTTTTAAATTTTTATAGACAGACAGAACATCAAATACTACAACATATTGGAGTTTAAATATCCTACCTGAAAATTATACTGTTGGAATATATGAAGTTGAAGTAATTGTTAGTAAATATTATTTAATGTTATGGTATAGACTTACCAGTGTTCGTACTAAATTTTATGTCACTCGTAAGTTAAAAGATTTTTAAAGTTACTCTATTAATTTTTTTGTATGAAGTATTACTTGAAGCTAATGCCTTTTTATAGAATTTCTTAATGGAGACATTGAAATTAAGCAATCTAATAAGACATTAATGGATACATATGTCTCTTCAGCATCTGAAGCAAATGTGACTGTAAATATACGAGAAGGAGACATAGATTATTTAATGAAAGCCACAACAGTATCAATTTATTGGTTTATAGATTGCAAATATTTTGGCCAAACAAATGACTTAAATTTTCTCTATAATTTTACAAATTCTGATACATCACATATGCTAGAAGCTTTAGTAGTTGCATCATATGATTCACCAACAACAACCATTTTGCCACCAACAGCTACTTCACCAGTCACAACAATTGTATCAAATATTACAGTAGAAGAAATGGTAACTTCTAGCATACCTAATAACAGTATAACTATAAAGCCAACATTAGCATCCATAACACCAATACCTCTAGATGATGTACCAAACACTAGCATCTCCAGTATAAATATTTCTTTACCTTACATTTGTTTCAACTCTTCAATAATTCCTCCAGATCCTAATAAAACATATGGATATTTCACAAAAAAAATTGATGTTCGTGGTGAGTAATATATTATCATATAATATATAACATAATCATATTACATATAATGTACATGTACATTAGTACATATTGATATAAGTAACACTAATGTATATTTGTAGCACCTATAATGAATATAACAGTAGAAGGTACAAATTGGATTCAACCATGGGATATGTTGTCTCTCAATGTAACATGTAAAGGTTCAGGACCTTTCAATAAGTGCCTTTATTTCCATAGAGGAAAATATAATATTACTGGAAATGAAACATGTGATAGTGGAGATCATCTTTATTCTTGTAATTTTTCCATCATCCATTACTTTTTGGAACCTAGTGTATACACAATATTAATTATGTTGAATAATGATGTCAGCAAACAAATTTATCCTTTGACAATAAACATTTATAAAGGTATATTTTGTTATAAATATTAATAGTAATAACAGTTAGATTTTATTATAAAACTACAATCTTTCATGTTATTACAACTTTTATAATATAAAATTTATTTTGGTTATATATTTAAATACATTTTACAGTGACAACAAAACCACAATTATCAGTTATTGTAGTACCTGTTTCTTGCTCACTTGCTGCAGTGGTACTAATTATTTTTGGCATTGCATATTATATTCAAAGTAGAGCAAGATTTACAGTGGAAGTCGCTGATTTTGACTTTGGTCAAAATAATCCAGAAATGGAGTATAAAACATTCACAGAACGGCTAAGAGATTCATTCAATAATACCCTAAGACCAGGAAACAAACGGATAAGTGTACGCCAGCCCTATTATGGCAGCATGAATCACTAACAAGTACAGATTGTGCAAACTACATAGTCTTTGATTGCCACTGACAGTTTAATCACACATTACAAGAAATCATATTAACTATTTTTTGATATATATATATTTTTCTCTTTATCTTTATACACTAAATTTTAAATTGCTTCTGCATTTTCATACTAGCTTGAGTATTTTCATTATTTTTCCTTATTGTGTTTGTTTCTTCTTACATTTACTTCGTTTACAAATCGCGTATTATTTTATTTTATTGTTTTGTATATATTATTTTTAGAACTATAATTTCACGAAGTAATCGAATTGTTATAAATTTTAGGGTTACAAACCTATTGGTAATTCTCAAACTCTTCAGTGATGTTTAAAGAGGAGAAGAAAATTAGTAAATTATCAATCAGTTTGAAGGCTGCAGAAAATGAAAAAACTAAAAAGGAATTAAAGAAAATGAATTCCAAGAAAGGTCACAGAATTATATCTTACAGTATTTTTAAGTACCAAATAGCTTAATTCGAAAATGATCAATACTATACCACCAGTATATAAGTTTATTCATTCCAAACAATTTATAAATAAAGTTAAGATTGTATATAGAACAAATAAAAATTGTATATATAGGCTGTGAACATAGTATGCAATGAAATATTGCTTTTGATGTTTTGTGAAAGTGAAATTTTAATATTAATTTTAATGTTTTCTAGAATTCTAATCTTTTGAAGCCTTACAAAACACGTATTTTGTACTTTGAGTGTATTTAATTTCTTATTATTGGATTTATGTACTACTAAATTCTTGTATTACAACAAAACTGTTGGTTAGTACATAATTATATAAGTAAATGGATTACGAATTTAATAAATTTGGTAAACAAGAAAGCTATGTATGTGAATAAAATAAATATCTTATAATGTGATTTTTACACATTTATATGTGCTTGTGCACATATAAACGCATTCACGCACTCGTATATAGTATTAAACTTACATGTCATGAACTATTTAAAGCAAATTATTTAGCTAAAACAATTTACCAAAATGGACAAATTAGATTGATTACTAAATAGTATTTAATAAATGAAAATGTTCTTGTAAAAATTGCTGCAATTATCTTCCATCGTGTACATGTAACATTGTAATATTAAGAACATAAGGTAAAAAATGAAAAATAACACGAGTATCCGGTGGCACCATCTGAACACGATTATTGTGACCAAATAACCTACGTGTTCGTGAGAGTTCATTGGTACATCGTCAAAGATGTAAGATGGCGACCATTGAAATAAACTTACAAAATTGTGCTCTGTTAAAAGACGTTTGTGCAGTTGTCGTTTATTGAATATTGTCAGTTGATAGTTTTACCTTACATTCATGTAACGTCACTTTGTGATCATTATTAACTGAAACGTGTCTCTCGTAAAAGTACAGTACAAACTTTTTTCGAATTACGGGCTTACCATGTCAGTAATTGCCTCAAAGCCATGCCACGAGGAAGAGAATTCGAAATTGACGGAGGAAGATGATTGGAAAATGCAACTTGCATTTTGTAAAGCACGCCATACGGCGACAATTGAGGGTGTAAATTGTATTACACAAACGTGGAGAATGAAAGAACGGGTTTGTTTCTTTTTTAATTACTCTTGTTGATGTACTCTGAAAAATTACGTACTTGATTTTATACAATGGTTTCTTAAATTTTTATTTTTTAGATGAAAACTGTGAGCGTGGCTCTAGTTTTATGTTTAAATGTTGGTGTTGATCCACCGGACATTGTTAAGACACAACCATGTGCACGTCTCGAGTGTTGGATCGGTATTTATTCTAGTTTATTTACATCCCCACAATTCCCCTCTGCCATTGACATTATGTAATGCATTTTAAGGTTATGCATGTGTATGACAGCGTTTCTAAATGAATGCCATTTTAGTAAATAACTTCTAGATGGCGTCATATTTACTACTGTCTGTAACTTGAATATTGTACTAAACCCGTCTTTTATTCCTTCTTTGATATTGTCTCAAATATTTCTTTGTGTTTTCTATTAACATTGAATAATGTTTACAATTACATAATCTTATAGTTCTATAAAACTGTGAATAGAGATTGTTGTGTTAAAAATTTTCATTGTAATTTTTCAGTATATATGGCTACAACAAATTGCATTATTTTTTAATCATATTCATATAATTAATATGAGTAAGACTGTAAAATTAACTGATATTAAAGTAAAATAAATTATATTTTTTTATTTTTACAGATCCTTTGTCAGTTAGTCCGCAAAAAGCTTTGGAAACCATAGGTTCTAATTTACAAAAACAATATGAACGATGGCAACCAAGGGCTCGTTACAAACAAAGTTTGGATCCTACTGTTGAGGAGGTGAAGAAATTATGTACTTCTTTAAGGCGAAATGCAAAAGAAGAAAGGGTTCTCTTCCATTATAATGGGCATGGTGTTCCTAAACCTACTAGTAATGGTGAAATATGGGTATTTAATAGGGTTAGTAAAGTTGAACATTTTAGAATTTTAAATAATTATTTTATAAATGTTTTTAACATTAAATTATTGTTGCAGACATATACACAATACATTCCTTTGTCTGTATATGATTTACAGACATGGATGGGTGCACCTAGTATCTATGTGTATGATTGTTCTAATGCAGGTATTATTGTAGAATCTTTTCAACAATTTGCAGAACAACATGAAAAGGAATATGAGGTACAAAAATTCTGCAGAAGTTTTGATTAAAGGTAAATGTTACATGTAAGCATATTGAAAATGTCACTTTGCAGATGGAAAAGCAAGCAGTTCAGCAGAATCGTGCAACAGGAGTTGCAGGTGCCACAGCACCATCCTATAAAAATTGTATTCAATTGGCAGCATGTGCAGCTAATCAAATTTTGCCTATGAATCCAGATTTACCTGCAGATATATTTACATCATGTCTTACAACTCCAATAAAAATTGCATTGCGATGGTAAGATAAAAATATAATTTGTCGACGGAATACTATATTTTTATAATAATCGAAAATTTATTTTCTATTCAGGTTTGTAATGCAAAATACATCCAAATTAGTACCGAAAATATCATTAGATTTAATTGACAAGTAAGAATATTTTCAATGTTTATAAGAAATATATATGCAGTGTTTTCTTTAATAAACTGGTTAATTAAAATTATCAAATAAATTTTAGAATTCCGGGGCAGTTAACTGATAGAAGAACGATGTTAGGAGAACTTAATTGGATATTTACAGCAATTACAGACACAATAGCATGGAACACATTGCCCAGGGGTAAGCTTATATGATCCATTTATTTGTGATACATATAAGAAATGATAAGTTGTAAATATGTTTGATTTGTAGATTTATTCCAGAGATTATTCAGGCAAGATTTATTAGTTGCTAGTTTATTCAGAAATTTTTTACTTGCTGAGAGAATACTTCGCTCATATGATTGCACTCCAGTTTCTTGTCCAAAATTGCCACCTACTTACCAGGTAAATAGATTTTAATATTATGAATGTTAGTTTTTAATAGAAACTGTTATATTTCTAAATACTTTTCTAGAAATTAAGAAATATTTTTTATATTTATTAGTGTTTTATCATCAATATATTTATTTGTCATTAATTTAGCACCCTATGTGGCAAGCATGGGATTTGGCACTTGATCTCTGTTTAGCACAATTACCATCTATTCTTGAAAATGAAGATCAATTTGTGCATTCTCCTTTTTTTGAAGAACAACTAACAGCCTTTCAAGTATGGCTTACACTAGGTTCTAAAAGTCGCAATCCTCCAGAGCAATTGCCAATAGTATTACAAGTGTTATTAAGTCAAGTTCATAGACTAAGAGCACTGGAATTATTAGGACGTTTTCTTGATCTTGGTCCATGGGCAGTGAACTTGGCTCTTAGTGTAGGCATTTTCCCATATGTTTTAAAATTACTTCAAAGTAATGCTAGAGAACTACGCCCGTTACTTGTTTTTATTTGGGCAAAAATTCTTGCAGTTGACAGTGTAAGTTTTAACATTAAATGTTTAAAAATATTTGAAATCATATTTTACATCTTTTTTAAGAATTTTTGTTTTATTGTGTGCTTATTTTATTCTGTTATAGAGTGAACATAGAACGTTAGCAGCATTTGTTTTGGCTAGTATTGTAAATGATTATCGACCAGGTCAAGTAGCTGCAAATCATGGTAGTCTTGTTTCAATTTGTTTGGAACAACTTGGAGATTCAAATGCTTTATTACGACAATGGCTCTGTTTATGTCTTGCAAGACTTTGGCATAATTATGATAAAGCAAGATGGTGTGGAGTCAGAGACATTGCTCATGAGAAGTTGTTTACATTATTACAGGATTCAGTTCCTGAGGTATAAAATATATGTAATTTTATTTAGTTTATTAATATTTATACATAATAGCATTAATATATTTAAAGGTAAATAACATTGCATAGGTTCGAGCAGCTAGTGTTTATGCTTTGGGCACATTTATAAATAGTGTAACAACACGAAGTGAACATGCAAATAATATTGATCAAATTATTGCTATGACACTCATTAATACTATATCTCATGATATGTGTCCTTTAGTTAGAAAAGTATGTAAGTCTGTTACATAACAATATATAATTCTTATAATGGACTTTGTTATTCTAATGTAAAGAAAATATAAACTATTTTGCAGGAATTAGTAGTAGCACTACAATGGATGGTTTTACATTTTGAAAATTCCTTTGTAACTTTAGCGTTGGCTGAAGAAAATAGCCGAAAAGACCTAGTAGTGGAAACATTATCACCATTTAGTGGAATGAGACGTATTAGTTCCAGGGATAGATTAAAAATGCTTTCTCCAAACAACACATACAGTGTAGACAGCACAGATGGATTTGGTCAGGATCGTATTAAGAGAGTGTCATCATCATCGTCTATTAGTAGTTTAGGTAAGTAATAAAATGTGTTGCTTTTAGCTAGAGTTACTAGTTTTATTGTCGGATTTTGGATAACAATTCCTTGTATTGTTTCATTCGTGTGCCAGGAAATAATTGGGAGTTCGTGAGGAAACCTTGCGAGTCACTTGGTAATAATGATTGGAAATTCCATTGCATGTTCGTACATAGTTCATCTTTCATTTCTAGATTTTGTAATTTTTTATTTATAGCTAATGCTATATCACTACTTCGTTATCTGCAAGCACATCGTAAAAACCAGATATTTTTTTATACTAAATACAAAGTACAATAAACTATGTTTTATTACTTGTAGGGCATAGTTCTCTTGGAAACTTACCAAGTCTTTCCTATGGTAGTGTATATATGAAACTATGGCATGGATTATGTAGTCTTGACAATGATCCTCACCCTGCAGTTGCTGCAATGTCTCAGATAGTCACTAATCACATTCGAAGTCAGGTAAACATAATAGTTTTGTAATAATTATAATAATTTATATTAGAAGCAAAAATTCATATTAGAATAAAATGTTGTAATACTCGTTTAATACAGGTTAAAGGATCTTCTGCACCTAAAGAAGTAATTGAAACAAAGATATCTTCATCATTGTCTCTTCCGCCTTCCCCATCGAATCGCACTACATACTTAAGGTTAGTTGACATTTAGTTATTTTTACCTATCACAGCCATATTTATATATTTAACTTATTGTGTTTAAAAAAGCAATAGTAAAGGAGAATCGCCTCCTACAGTAAACTCTGGAACAGATCTATTGCGTTCATCAAGAATTCCATCGCACAGTAATCGTTCAAGAAAGCCAATTCCTAATACGGTTAGAGCTATTTGATATATCGGTTAAGTAAAGTATAATATTTCTTACATAATCATTATTGCTGCAATGCTGTTTTATTATAGATATCAGAAGAAGCAGATGAAGTTACTGGTATTAAAACACCATTAACGACTTCACAGTTTGTTGAATGGAGTTGTGCTCAATTTGCTCAGCCTGTTAGTTTAGAAAGTGAAACTGAATCAATGAATGATATGGAAAGTAGAGCTCACTATGAAAGAGAGTGGCGGTAAGAATTCGTAATGTTATTAGAGCGTGCGCAAAGTTTAAAAAAAAATTTCAATGTTTAGGTATCTGAGAAATAAAATACAAAGACGTGAAGCAAGAGAAGAACAGTTACGCGCAGTACAAAGCAGAGTAGAATCTCAAGTATTTCACACAAGATGTCCACAGTCTCCAGAAGTCTTAACATTTCATCCTTTTGAACCTCACTTGGCTGTAGCATTGAAAGATTCCTTTGGGTATTTGAATTTTGACATAGCAGATTTTTATTGCTAACATATAAAAAGTTATTTAACAATATTATTCATGTTTAGGGTATGGGATTGTCAAACTGGAACGAGATTGACATACTGTGCAAGTCGTGGAAATAAAACATCACGTATTACAACATTAGAGTTTATTAATGCTCACGATGTAACGTTATTGATGGCTGGGTCTGATGATGGTTCAGTTAGGGTTTGGAAAAATTATAGTAGTATGTTAAATCGTGAGCCAGTTTTACTTACCGCTTGGCAAGCATTAGCTGATATACAGCCCGCAACGAAAACTACAACTGGTGCGTGTTTAGTTTCCAAAACAAAAATTTATTATAGTTGTATATGTTAATTTAAATTGTTTGTAGCAACAGCTGGATTAGTTAGTAAGTGGGAGCAAAAATCTCTTACTTTAGCCGTAACAGGCGATGTTCGTATTGTTAGACTCTGGGATGCAGAGACTGAGTTAAAGAAACAAGATATACCAACAGGTGCTGATTGTTGTGCTACATGCATTGACGTTGATGGTGTAGGTTAGTTCTTTATATTATTTTAATCACGTGACAGTTGTACATCAAAAACATATTATAGTTGCTTTACTAATGCCAATTTAACTATATTTTAGTATATTTTATAAAGAATTTTACGTTAAAACGAATTATTAGTGTATTGCGTATGTTAGATAAATATGAAGTATTCTTAAACTAAATATTTATAATCCATAACAAATTGTGTAGTTTAAACGAGTTATATATTTATTTATTGATAATATGCAAAAAGTGGTAAGAGTGGAATGTTGAACACTTTGATGATGTTTAACTTTTCATTATGTTATATTTTGTATATATTTTTAAATATAAGATATAATGCAAGTAGTATGTCATTTAATTATATGTAGGTGCAATGATGACAGTCGGTTGTGGAGATGGTTCAGTCCGATTATTTGATAGAAGATTACCTCCATTAGAATCAAGAGTTATGATATGGAGAGAACATACAGCATGGGTGTTAGGCACATCTTTGAGAAAAACTGAAAGATCTGCACCACAGTTGTTTACCGGATCATCTTCAGGAGATATTAGAATATTTGATCTTAGAAAATATTCTTCTGTAAGCAATGTACAGGTAACGCAGGGTATTACAGCACTGACTGCACATGAAATGGCTGATATTTTTGCATGGTAAGTTTTAAATATTGCAAAATTTATCTGCCAAATTTACATAAATTACTAAAATAAATTCAAAATACTTTCAAATAATAATGTACAAACAAACATCTAAATAATAATGTATTTGCCTAACATTAATGCTATTTATTTATGTTTCAGTGGATCGACAAATCATTGCATAAGCGTGTATAACACAATGGGTCAACAATTAAATACAATAAAGTTTCATGAAGGATTTATGGCCACTCGTATCAGCCCTGTAAGTTGTCTAAGTTTTCATCCTTACCGTGTGGTTCTAGCAGCTGGACGCGTAGACAGCACTATTACCGCATATGCTTCTGAGCCACGCAGATGATTAATAGAGGTTGAATTGTTGTAAAATTATTTTTGCAAATGCAAATCTATAGTACTTGATGTCCTTAGCATTAATAGTCAGTAAAAAAGAAATGCTAAGGTCGAGATGTTGGAATTCATTTGGAAAAAAAAAAAAAAAGAATGTAAATTATTATTTATCAATTGTTTGCATTTTCTACTGCGTTTTTTCTTCCTTCTTATACAAAAAAAAAACTATTTTTGAGATTAGTTTATATAGAGGAATTAACATTTTTTGTGAGCAAAGTAACCAAAGTCTTTTGAGGCGACCAAAGAGAAGCTTGATGATACAAGTTACATATACAAGGACAATGTAACTTTTTGAAACGCAGTTGAAAGAAATTTGATGTTATTACAAATAATACAGATGTTATGCAACGAAAAAGATATGAGTACATGTAGTACGAATATGTTTAATATTTAATAAAGCTTGTAACATGCGCGAGGATATAACCTTGATTACTGTGCCATGCAGAATTAGCTTAGATTAAATTTATTAATCATATTTTCTTTTTAGTTTTGATGATAAAATATTTAATTTCATCTTTACAAGCTGATAATTCCTCGTATTAATTTTCTTATTTTCTAATACTTTAGTAAAATCCTAAAAGAAAAGAATTTTAATCTTAGAGAGTTAGAAATTATCTGTAAGCATTCTTTTAGCTATTGATAAGTATTTTATAATAACATTGGAGAAATAAATTATGAAGACAGTATATTGTTGCGCGTGGATGATGAGTCCGTGATATTACTTTACAACACTTCACAAACACTTTATTAAATACAATTGTATACAGACTATACAATATACAGAGTGAGGCACATAAAACATGACAATTGAATATTATCAAAAATATTCGTGATATGAACAAATGTTTTTAGAAAGAATTTAAATATTATAGGCGGTGCACTTTTCGACATAATTTGCTAACAAAAAATTAAATTACACCAAAAAGTGTGTCCCTTAAAATACTTTAGTTCTTCGTAGTAACATTTCTTCACATCATAACTATTTTTGATAATATTCAATTGTTCCACTTTGCCTGTATAACTGTACTATAAAATATCACGGTTCGTCAGTTCGTTAAGACCGCGACTCTCTTCGATAAATTGATAATGTCCGACGGTAGAAGAAAGCAGTCTTTTATCCCGTTCATATTGCATTCGCAATGTACAAAAACACGGATATACTACACGCAACAATATTATTCAATAATTTAAATGCATTATTTTAGTTTATGATATAGTGCAATAAAATGATAGTGCATTAGATTATTGGTAATAAGAAAATCGAAATAGATTGCTTAAGTTAATAACTGAAGTAATTATACGATTTCTACGTAAATGGATGATCTTTGTGTAAACAGTCTACCTTATGTATATCTTTTTACTTATAATTTTCTTATTATTAAATTTTTCGTTGCAATTTTAAGAAAAAATCTAATTTTTGTAAATGTTAAGTATCATATACTTAGCAGTAACAATATTTTGTGTTAAGTGATAAATTTAATGTTACATTTAACGTTTTTTAACGTTTTAACGTTAAATTAAGAAAAAGTTCATAAGTAAATTCTTTTTCAATAACAAATGGTTTAAATAATTAAATAAATATATGTACATCATTTGTATTCAATTAATAATTAAGCCACTATGCTATTTGGAAGGTATTTTACGAAGTAATATTTGTATGTTGTATGTGTTTATTTTATATTGCTACTATAACTGTTCATTGAAAAAATAGTATGTCAGTGTACATGACGTGTACATCGAAGCAATCAGATTTCATATACATATACATTAATAATATGAACATGAATTATAATTGCATAAATAAATAATAAAAGAGGAACGAAAAGAAATCAGGTAATAAAATCGAGAATAAGAATGTAAATAAATATACGTATAGAATATCGAGTACAGTTAGAGAAACCATTATGTGCAGATAAATTTATCTCTTCGTATTATACAATACTTTTGTTATTGATATATGATGTTGACGTTCGGAGGCTCGATAAAAGATATGAATTACTATACCCTAAGTACATAAAACAAGGATTTCCAATGTAGATGCGCATATAAGATGTTCCAAAACTTGGATCTATTCATACTAACATATAAATACATAAAAGCAGGTTTTTATTTGACAAAATTATTGCAGACGATCTGAAAAAATTTTAACTATTAAATACAACTAGAATTGTATTGTAAGTATAATGTTTATGCCAGGTATAAAACTTTTATTTATGTATATAAAACATTACATGTGGTTTAAAAATGTAATTTGTCGTTGGACAAGATGTATTTATTTCGTTGGAGAGTGGCCAGGTATTTTAAATGATAAATTGATGTAGTATTATAATTTTCCAATTATTAATATGCGTTTCAGATAATATGTCGATTATTTTTATGGTGAATTTTCCGAACATCTCGTATGGTTTGATGGAAATTTTAATAGAGACATAAAATGTACTTAAGCGTTAGAATCAGCATTAATTGTTAAAATATAAATACCTAGAACTATTTCTGTATATATTATACGCGGTAGACCATCGTTGCTGTTGTTAACAATAATTATCGGTAACGCCGAATATTAGAAAGACAATGTCAGAAGAGCGAACGCGATGTATTATTTTGCACTGTACCCGTAATTGTATATGATCGCCTTATAATAAATACACTATAATTATGTTATTTCAGCGTATAATTGATTTACAAAATAACATTTATTATTTGAAAAAAAATTATCATTATAATCTATTTTATTCTGGCTGAAGATTTATTTAGAATTATTTATATGGATAACAATTGCTTGTAGTATATTTAATAACTTGTAGAAGTTATTGTTTTAAGTTAATTAAAACTGGTAAAAAATTATCTTGTATCTTTACAAGTAACTGGATAAAAGCGTAGCACGTCCATTTTTATTATTATATAAATTACTTCAAATTTAGAAGTAATAAAATAGCTGACAACAAGAAATATTATTTTTAATAATGTAATTGTAGCATATAAATTCTATCTCTCTTCATTTTATCACTTTTTACATACAATTTCGATATTGATACTTGCCTCTTTTTCCTGCTTAAATTATCAATATTAAAATGATAATAATCTTTGAACGTTCAGTACAATTAAAATATTCCAAAATGCCTTCTACTTTAACAAGAGATTCGTACAGAAATTCAATTATAAGTAGCATGTAACAATATCCAGATTGCTTTTTTTAAACTTTATTTTGTTATTATTCATTGGGAATCATAAGATAAAAACATGTAATAAAATCTATTTTAGTTTTTCCGTTTCTCATATCATTTTTTATTTTCCATTTTTAAGAATAACTATTATAAAGTTTAACATAACATTACTTGTTTAGTATACATTGTACATTAAATATTCTAGGCACATTTTATTTAGTTGCAAATTACGTACTTAATAATAATAACTCATTATGAAGGGTATATTTCATAAAAATAGTATAGTAACTTATTCAATGGTCATTTTCAGGCAGCTTCATTATGATATTTATAAGTTATTGTTAGTTAATAAAACAATGATGTAACATTCATCGGGTAATGATGTGCAATTTGCACACTGGCATCTTATATTGACTGTTTTCTGCCACTCTTTTACCTCGGAACGTCATATGTATGTATCTCATTATTAGTATCCAAATCATCAACGTTCTTAGATCTGCAGGCTCAGCTTGTAAGTGAATCAGAATATAAAATTAAGTTGCTGAATCAGAACTAACGGTTCGTATTTTTTTGAAATTATTACATTAACAATAGAATTTCATTACCTTGTAAAATCTTATTGATTACAATGATAAAACACCGTTTGAATAATAATAATATTTAAATGGTAGTCGGTAAAGTAGAGAACAAATTTTTTGATAAATAATAAAGAAAATACAAGAATGTAAATATTAATGGAACTTAAAGTTTAAATAGTAGATTTTAAAATACACTTAAGTATAAAGATGATGCAATGGTAATTGACTGTCCAGCTGGATTTTTTTCGTAAACTTTTACTACTTAAGACATTTTACTATTAAGGACAATAATCACCTTTTTTAAAAATCCCAAGCTGCTTCTTTTCTAACCACTCCACTATTTTTTATACCTAACAATTAAACAGATTTCGGAGTTAGTAATTGCACTGTTGCGATGATTTTTTGTTAGTTATAAATAATGTTATGTCATGCATGTTAAGTTAAAAGAATTTTTATTTTTATTACCTTTCTGCAAATAGTTTTTATCGTACTATTGCAATTTATTATGTTCTGTTCGAAATTTTTATAATTGAAGTTAAATCCCGTTAAATCCATTTTGGGTATTCCGAAGAAAGACTACCGTATCTCGTCCTGAAACAAACGTCTATGTAGAATATGTGCATCCAGGTATCTACGGTTTACTTTACAACAGGGTGAAAGAACAAGAAAGGTTAATACCGTGTGCGTGTTCTTTAAACAATATTTGCCCTTACTTCCATATTTTTCTATAATCTTATCTTCTTTCACTTTACAGAATGTCCCGACTATTTCTATGACCTGTTATGCGTATTAGCAACCAGTGTTGCTAGATAAGAATAGCTTAGGGTAATGACCTTATTTCACAGCATTTGAGATTCTGTATCGCTTGGGAATTTTGACAAAAACGCAATGTGTTTCTGCATACATCGTACACGTCATCATTTCATGCGATCTTTCAATTTCCAAGCTGCAGCTTCCACACTTTCGAGTAAAGCGAGCTTCGTTTGTCGTCAGAACGAGATTTGAAGTTATTCCTAAATTATCGATAAAATCGCAGGTAAAATAAATTTTATAATGGTGGCTCTATAATCGTTCAAAAACGTTATAATTACGTTAATTTCTGCATGTCAAACTTGAGCACTTGTTTTCCTTATTGAAAAGTTTGTATTTCAAAATGCAACTGCTAATGCGAATCATGAGTTAACAATTTTATTTTTGCAGGAACTAGTCGTTGTAGATCTTTTACATGTACTGCATTTATTTCAAGTAAAACGTTAATATGAACTCTTTGTTAATTTATTTAATTTGCAACTTATTATCAAACTATTTTTGTAATACACGAACAATCTTTTCATGAAGTATTGTAAAATATTTTTCTGAATGTCTGTTGATTTTTAAATAACAATTCTATAATTTTATAAAATTAAAAATTTCTTTTAAGGAATTTTTTTTTTCACACGAAAAATGACAGTTACTTCAAGAATCGATTATCGTTTGATAATATTAGATTACACTACATATCGATAATTACAGCAGTTTCCGATAAAAGTCGTCGGCAGCACTTTGGCAATACATACTGAAGAAATCCCTTTTATTTTACTTGATTTATTCTTTGCACAGATTTCTTTTAGAATATTTTTTATATCCTTTATCGGTATAAAGTTTCTATTAGTCTTACTGTATATATCTTCAGCGATTTAATTAAATTCTCTTATTTATACATAAACTAAAGTATTTATTTGAATGAATATTTCATATAAAATAATTATTAAAGAATTGCCGTCTCAGGCTCATTAATCAATATTTTAAAAGTTACTTACGTTATACAAATCAAACCATTCAACATACATCTTACAACATTATACATATGTATTCATGCAAAATTCTTTAATTCATAATTGGTTCATTCTCGAGCGTGAAACGCTAAATCTATAATTCTTCTCCACTAATGTCTTTCCTTCGTAAACATTGCTGTAGACTTTGTATCGCCCATTGTAACGATCGAAAGTATGACGTTTGATTATACATACATACTTACATGCCAGAGTCGTAAGCAAACGATTGTCCCACTTCAACGAAATAACGTAATTGAAAAGGTGAACATTCATTCATGTTTCATGGAGGAGGCTTATATTTCATGTTTATTTCATGTTATAATGAGTACATATTATTAAACTACGGACTGTGATTCAAGCCGTGCAGGCACGTGCGTCGTATGTGCGGACAAGGCAGGGACGAGGCGCAGCCGCAGTCGTTGCTCGGAGCTCGATCGGGCCGGTTGTATGTTTATCTGTAGGTAGATTCGCGAGCACTAAGTGTCGTTCAGTCCATTTCGAACCGTTCCTCGGAATGGTCTTTTTTCTTTTTTTTCTA